AGTAATTGGGCTAGACCTGATCTATCTTCTGAGCAAGACAAGTAAGCTAAGAGCAGACTAACCAAAACCGTAGCACAGAATCTTATTGGAAGCCCACGATCATGGGCCATAAATGCGCACCCAAAGTTGCCCCTTCTTTTGTGTGCTTCCTCTCTCTTTCGTCAAATTCAACGTAATGTAATTTCTCCTCTGAATGAAAAAATTATTTATCGTTTAAACTGTTTTAAATTATTTTAAATTATAAAATATTAATTTTTGAATGAGAAAATTTTTTTAATATTAAAAACTCTTTTTATATTAAAAAAATTTATATTTTACAGTTTAGACAGAAAAAATGATAAACTCAAATAATTTAGTGATGTTCAACCAGAAAAAATTATATGGCAGGGCAGCAAAATTAACTTAGGAGGCCAGTAAATATTAAAGCTTCAAGATTTGGCCCTCAGATTCCATGGAACCTTTAATTTTACTTATAGATGTTACGTACCGATAAAGGGAACTGATCTGAGTGGTGACTGAACTGTTAAGCTTGCTATTTTGCCCACAAGGACCACACACACAGTAATTATTAATTATTCCTTCTTTAGCAATGAATGTTCATCACACATACTAGGCATTTGGTTTCCAACCATTAATTATTACAATAGACTGATGAAGAGACCCTCCCTCAGTTTGCTTTTCTGCAGTTGATTCTTATCTCTCCAGCAGTACCTGTGAGAGGTTTGATGTTCCCCATCTTGACCATACCCTTGGCAAAATCCTTGAAGAATGAGGAAGCATCTTGAGCATACTTTTTAACCAGAGATTCAGCAGAGGGGTTGGTGCCATTAAAGAGTTCTTGGTCAGAATGAAGAAGACCCTTCTTTTTCAACAGATTATCATAGTATAATTTATCGAAACAGGTCGGTGTTTGGAAATCAAGGGGTTTAGTGACATCATCATTTCCACTTTTGTGACACTTTTTTTGCAGTGACTTGGCAAATGAGGCATCTATGTTGGCGTCATTATAGATTCGTGCTCGGAATACCGTGCACCTAGCCAACCCTATGGTATGTGATCCTACAATTAATATAATGCAAGATTAATTGTATATAGGATTATATTTTTATATAAAAGAAAAAAACTGAATATCAATCAATATTTCTAAATAAAATAAAGTTACCTGAAAGTGCCACCAAATCTTTCAAGGAGAGTCCTTGAGCAGAAAAGCTGGAAATGAGAGCACTTAGATTGAAATTTGGTCCAGGAAGTGAGGTGTTAGCAGCTGCTCTGCTAGCAGTCAAAGAATCTCTTCTTCCTAGCTTCACTTTCCAACAAGGGCCACCTAACTGCAAATGTGAAAATTTTACTTCAACTATGAAGGTAATTAAACCAATCTTACAAATAAAATTAATTAGTGGTAGAGTGGTAGTTGGTGGGTGCTGACAATAACAACAGAGTCCCTGGCAGCAATAGCAAGAATATCTGCACAAGACACCACTCCGGGGCATGCTTTCTCCAGTTGAGCTTTAATGTCATCAACCACATTGAATCCTCTAACAGAGTTGTTATTAGGTGCTGCGGTTTTCTCCCCTATGAAAGTAGCGTTATCATCCAACAGAATGGACCCATCACAACCCTGTGACCATGCATCGTGCATATATATGTGATTCATCCAATATATTTTTACTTATAACGCATGAGAGAATTGATGGAAGTTAAAATTACTCACATTAACAAAACAGTCATGGAAGTGCAGCCTGAGCAAAGACGCCCCCATTCTCGCTTCCTTTTTGATAGCAGCTTCCACGCCTGCCCGAACAATAGACAATGCTTTGGGGCATGTGGATGAGTAGTAAGTAGGGGAGAGTGTCCCATGGACTTGAACAGATGAAGCAATGACAACAACGATAAGCAGGAGTATGAAGTGAGTTCGTGTAGCCATGCCTTATACCCTAGAGAGTTCCAGCCAACTCCAGATTAATCCTAAATAAATATATAGACTAGAGTCACTAGAACGTGTCTGTGGAAGCGTATTCCTTTCCCGGGGTGATGAATCATATATGTCACGTTGCATGAGGGGCCCTAAGTTAGTCACTTTAAGGGACCTCAACACCCTGCAATTGGTCTCACTTGATATTTATTAACGGTAACAAATTTCACATCATTATTTGAATTATTTGTAAAAATTGTGTAGGTAAATCTCAACATAAAAGTTATATTTAACTTCAAATTAATTAGTAATAAATAAAGTAATCATTTTATAAATTTAATATATGAGATTTTTTTACTGAATATGTTTCTTCACATACATATTCACAGGTTATGTCATATAATTTAATACATTTTTTTTTACATACAAACTTGATATTAATTTTGAATCTTGTTAGATAGGTTAACAACCAAATTTTTAGAATGAAATTTAAATTTTGATGTCATGTAAAAATTATACATATAAATTTTAATTAAATCTTATATTTAATTTAAAATTAATTAATAATAAATAAAATAACTCTCTTTATAAATTTGATGTAAAATTTTCTTGTCAATGGTATTAGTCCCTGTTCTTTTACCCCCAACAATACTATGCATGTCCTTGCTAAATCAATTATGGGGTTACTTTTTTCGTCATAATGTAATTAATTCCTAAGAAAAATCAACAAGCAGAAAGATATGGCATCAAAACCATTGGTCGTACTTTTTCATACCCACTAGTAAAGGACAATCTGCAAAATTAACAACGGTGGCCACCGATTTTCCAGCCAACACTTTTGACCATTTCAAAAATGAACTTCATGGCGCTCCGGCCGTAGATATATTACGTCCGATAGATGCCTCTGTTTAATTGTGACATTTTTAATTACAACCATAAAGCCCTCACCAACTCCCTTCCTCACCCTGAATTTTTCCTCTTTCTCTCGTTTTTCTTTCTTTCTTTTTTTTGGGTAACTGCCTCTCTCCTCCTCTGTGGTTAGGTTAGGGTGAATGGTTAAAAGTAGAGCTTCTCTTTTTTTTTTTTTTTTGTTGAGTTTCTACCTTAGTTTATTTTATAATTTTTATCGAATTCATGGCTGTCGGGAGATGAGTATGGCAATTTGCACACGATAATAATTAAAGTCAGATTAATTATTGTACTTGCTTCAACTATTAAAAGCGTGGTGAAAAATGCATTTAAACTTTGAAGTAAGTAATATCAGGTTACATATAAATATATTTTTTTATTTTTGGGGTTTCAATTTCACCTTTTGTAAATTTGTTTTAAAAAAAAAAAAACCATGGTTGAAAATAAGATTAGTAGCTAAAATTTTTACTATAATCAATCTATTTTTTGTTTAAATAGATTATATTGAAAAACGATTTAACTACTAAATTTTAAGTTTGAATCTGATTTTAATATTTACGTGTGATATTCATGTAGTAATAGTGTAATACCAATTATGGTTGGTCTTGTAACCTTTAATATTTTAACATATAAATGAAATTCTATTTTTCATAAAAAAATTGTGACATTTTTATTTTTTATGGAGGTATTAAATATTTTATTTTAAATTTACTCTTATTAAACTTTTTAATAATTTTTTCCAAAAGAATGGATAAAAATAAAACTTAAAAGGCTAATGATGGTATTTTTTTATTTTTTATTAATTTTTTTTATCATGCCATATAAAAAGTGTAATAACTATAAATAAATTGAGGTGATATATAAATAGAAATAACTATTATTGATCTGTTGTGTTTATACAATTATTGGATGCTTAGACGAAGCAAAGTCGGACCAATCATTTTAACACTGTTTTTTTTTTTCTTTTACTAACTATAATATTTAAAAATCATATTATTCATACCCATTTTTACAAAATAGTATAATGATACCACGTGTCATCCATATTAACATTTAGAAGACAACACATATTAAATTTTAATTAATTTAAAATTATGATATGTTAAACCTACAAAAA